AGCGTCTTGCACGATCGAATTAAGGGGAATACACACATTCGACAGCAAGTTGCTCGATAAACGGCCTAATTATCTGCTCGTCGATCCTCGATGACCGCTTCCCTTCGAGTGGAAGTCGTTCACACCGACCTTCCAGAGGCTTTCGAGCAGGATCGTACGATTCGCGGGATTATTGAACCTGAATCGACAAGAAAACGAGATTACTGCAGCACTGCAGCCTTGACCAAACGCGTAAATCTGCCATGTGATTGTTTATGAATGAATCAAACACGATTAAATTCAACACGAAGAAATCAAATTGAAAACATGCGACCAGTTTGAATTTCCCGCTACTAGTTGGAAAGCTTGATCCCTTATAACTAGAACGTAATTTAATTCTAATACGAGTGACTTTTTTTTTCAAAAATATAGTTAATTTTCGAATAAAATACGAGAAAACGAAATTATGTACAAAGGCGTATCGATATTAACGTGAAAATATCGAAATTGTACAGACCGAAGGGTTACGATCGATTTGAATTTCCCGCTCTTAGTTGCACACATCGATTCGTAATATGTGGACCGTGACTAAATTTATATGAGAGTGATCTATTTTCGAAATGTCGTTGGGTTTTAAATAAAACGCAGAGAAACAAAATTTTGGAAAAGGAGAACGAAGAAATATCGTCGTATGAACTAGAAATCCCGATACAGTCATAGAATATAATTTTTCCGAAGATACGTAGTACAGTAGAAAATTCTATAATTCGTAATGTACACCATTTCAATATATCTCTTCATTATTCCACGATTTCATCGGCCTCCTACGTTAATCGTACTTTCGTTAAGTAACAAACATATTTTTTTCATTAATTAATGAACATTCTATAAAAAGCACGCTTAAAAGATTTAAAGAAAAATTAACCTATCTTTCACCCGAACAGACCGAGGATTAAACCGTTTCTCGAATTATCACCGATGCGTCATTATTTACCATTCGATGGAGAAAATAAAGAGAAAAAGAAATTGATAAAACGAAGAAAAAATTATAAACGGGATTTCTAACAATAAATTTTGTCTTCGCTCATTTTGTTCGATTTAAACCAGCAGAATAAAGGAAGTCGACTTCCGATCTGAGAACGCCGTTTGAGAACCATCAATGCACGGAGAGAAACTGATTAAGAGGTATTATTTTGCATCGCTATCGAACAGCTATGCACACTTAAGGGTCAGAGCAGGCCATCTTAAGCCGCAGATAAATGGAAAAAATAAGGCGAACGTACGCGAAGGGAGCGAAAGGTCGGATTACTCGAGTCTGTTCGAGGAATCTGTTTCGAAACCAGACGTTTCATGTTCTGAAGATCGAACACCATAACACGACGGAGGAAAGTGGACCGATACGTAGAAATACATTTTCGTTGCGTAGTTACGGGAAGAACGCCTGATTGGAGACCGATAAATCCGTTTGCGTCGATAAGTCAGTTTCTGGTTTTACCTACACATGAACCGTTTTACGATTCTTATATTTTTCCCATGAAAAAAATTGTCAGGCTGCCTTCGATTAAGAACTGGTATCTTCTGTCTCTTACTAATAATATTAGAGTCAGCGTTATTCCGATATTCCTATGAATAAATCAACAGAAGTTAGTTGGAATAACATAAATGTTGCACAACAAAGAATATAATATGAATAGAGGTTATTAATGTCATCTGTCCTCGAGGTAATATTTTAAAACGTCACGTGATTTCCTACTTTTTTAAAACTTTTTCTATAACAAAATATAAAAGTATATTTAAACTCGAAGTTATTTTATTTAATTTGTTTTTTTAATAAAATGACACTCAGTAATGGCGAATTTTTTTTTCTTCAATTACTTTGTCATTTTATTCCAAAATTAACGAGTGAACGTTTTACATTCGATATATTTCGAAAAATTCTGATGTATCCAAACGACATAAAATATGTATACGAAGAAAGTAACATCGAAACCATATTTATTAAATAATTTAACACCAAGGTGAGTCAATCAAGGTGAAATCCAAACATAAATATTATACGAAGGAACCAAATGTCGAATCAAGTGTTAACCTTTTACGATCTTACGCCAAATCGATTTCAATATCGTTAATTTAATTTCAAAATAAAATACAGATATATTTAACTAAATGATTCTTCACTGACACTTATCCCTTAAAAAAGGTTAACTATATTTTCATATTATTATAAAATATATATATCAAAATGAAAAAAAAAAAAACCAAAAAAGTTCCTAGTTCATACGCCATCTATTCGAATTTTGCAATCTACTACTTTTCGTGAACGTAATGCAAATGTCGCAACATGTACTTCCGGTTCGGCCGCAAGAAATGAAAATAGAAAGCGTCATTGATCGCGAACCACGAGCTTCGGTACAGATAAAGACCTCTTGTAAGATTACTTTGAACTAGATACCGCGCAAAATTTGAAAAAGAAGTTATCTGCAATCGACAAGAATGGAAAGAAACAGGTATAACGGCGAAAAGATAAATCGTAGCATATGAATTTTATTTTTCTAATATTGAAAGAAGAAATTCCAATAATTGATGCACGACAATGACCAGGGTGAATAACAGAAACAAAAAACATTTATCTCGAATAATACAATAGGATAATATAGATATTTAATCGACTAATATTTACAACAAAGAAATGTACGAATTGCATTTATAAAAGAAAAATTCCGATAAGCATTGTATGTCGGTAAAAACGAAACGCACGATGTGACTCGATAATTTACACAGTTTTTCCAATCTATTTTAAGAAACTACTCGATATACACTTCATCGAACGACGATTGGTAAACATTCGATGCAAACGCACAAAAATAATGGCTTTATATCAAAGGAACATGGTCGATCATGATAAGCGTACAAAGTACGAATACTCGTCGATTCGAAATAAACAGCGAGGAATGGTCTGACTGAATCAATATTAACATATATTATGGTGCAAAACTTACAATCGAATTTATCAGAGATATGCAACGATATAAATCTTTTCTTTTTATCGACAGTGCCAAAGTTTAAATGCACGCTTCGAATCGTACCCATTAATATAAGGAATAGATTTTTCTCCGCTAAACATTTTATTCTAATTTCCGATCGGTAGATGACGTTGCACTTTATAAACAATGCGGGGACAAAGCATACAAATTGCACAGACAAAAAGCACTAGAAACAAATGAATAAATTTCAAATTTACGTATGTCTCGATATTTTTTTCAATATCGTTAGCTTTTTCAAACATTAACATCTCGATAATTTCTATATTTTTCTTGGATTCCGTTTCACTGGTTTTCCATAATCACCGAAAACTAAGACATGATTCATCGGAACATCACATTATACGCAAGTTATCGCAATCTCGCGGTTCACTAGGCGACGAAACCATCCGTTTCGGTGCGTTCAATAATTCGGTAAGCAATATCGACCCATTGTTACGTCGTTGGAAATAAAAGGTAATGAACAAATGCAATGAAGAAAAGCCAAAGAGAAAAGGTGTAGCATGTACGCTCGTGAACGAAGACATAAAAATGAACAAGAAATGGGGAAACGTTAAGTTCCGTAGAAAATAAACCGCTCGCGGATCGTGCACGTTCTCGTGTCCAAAATGGCTGGTCGCTAAAATTAGCGTCGGAAGCAACGAAACGATACCAGATAGGACGTCGCCGTCGCTACCATGCCCTGGTTCTACTCACCTTGACGTCGAAGAAAAGTCATATAAAATGGTATCGCCCTGCTGGACGGCCGCCTTCTAGCGTGAAAATTGAACGGGTGTTCGTGGGTGTATCGAGACAGATGGATCGCCCTGTCGGGTGCACCCCAGTGTCTCGTTTTACGTCTTTCTACGATGTCGCCTACGAAAGTCGGTCGTTCAAAACGGTCAGTCGTATAGACGTGACACCGTATCGATACTTCTGCTTGCTTGCTCCCTTTTTCCGTTCGATGACAAGTATCCTTGTCGTCAAATGACTATTCCTTCGTTGAGTCTTCTCAATTTTACGTGCTGTGCGTAACTTTTTCGCTTGCGACGTGCACACGAAACGTTCCGGCTTCTGAGACGGCTACTGCCTGAATACAACTGCAAACGCTCCTCGAAACCAGGGCCGTAAACGTGACTCACGACTCCCCGCGAATGATAGCGGTGCCCCTACCTTTCTGTGAATATTCGCTTTTTACTTAATTGTCACGTGACCTCGTGCGATATCACTGACAGTGATGCAATAGAAATTTTGTGGTTTCATTTCTCATTCTGTTCCTTAATTATTTCGATAAGAATTCTACTCGTGTTTGTCATTGAAATATTATCTTGCAAACACATTACCGTGTAAAAATTTATTCGTGATAAGAAGACGATTAAAAAGAAATTTGTTTTCTCATATGCACGAAGAATAGTCAATTCAATCCTAATTATTTAGAAAAGTGATAGTAGTAGTCTTGTCTAGTTGTAAACTAGGGTCTATATTTAAGCGATGAAATATTAATATACAACAATATTCAATGTAAAATTATATAAAGTAGAATAAAGGAGCATTTTTTTAATAGATATTTTTGACGATAATATTTAATTTCTCGATTATAATTAAAAAGTTACTAATGGTATTAAACCTACTGTTCACGTTGTAAATGCTGTATTGTTGTATTCTTTGAAAATATTTTATAAAATTATCGCCAAAATGAAACATGTAATCGTTGATAGTTTATTAAAAATTTCCCCTATCTTATAAGTCCAGAAGAATATGTATATATATATAGATAAATATCATTTTTACATTCTGATGCAATATTAAAGGTTTCGATAATTACAATAACATTGCGTTAATCGTCGACTTAACCTCAATCTTCATTCAAAAAAGTGACTGTGCACGTGATGTGTCTCAGAATTTTTATTACCTATATAAACGTTGATTAATAATTAGCGGCATCTGTAATATGATTTGCATTCATTTATATCGTAATAAATGAATTGCGATAAGTGTTATTATAGTATATAAATATTCTACAACGAAGTCTTCGACGATTAAAATACGTTAATTTACAAAAGTGTTGGGAGTTATTAATTTGGGATTTGTTAAAACTTATTGGAAAAAAATGACATCGCCGTTTACCTGTATTACATGCCGCGTAGCTTTCAGAGATCTAGAAATTCAAAGACAACATTACAAGTCAGACTGGCATAGATACAACTTAAAAAGAAAAGTAGCTGAATTACCACCTGTATCTGTGGAAGAATTTCAGAAAAGGGTGATTGCACAAAGGAATAAGGATGACAAAGAAAGAGAAGAGGTAATAATAAGTTGTAAGATATGTAAGAAGAATTTCAACACAAGAAATCAATATGAAAATCATTTATTATCAAAGAAACACAAGGAGAAGTGTGCAAAACAAAATGTTGCTTCTGAAGCTGTAAGTGAAGACCTTAGCGACGATGCTGGTCCTTCACCTAATTCTATATTCAAGAAAGATATAATTGAAGAAGTTTCTATGAAACGATTAAAAGGAGATATTGAAATAAATTCTGATGTTGAATCTGTAGATTCTGATGAATGGATTGAAGATACAGAGAATCCAGTTACAAATAATAATTGCTTATTTTGCAATCATCATAGTAAATCTTTGGTACGCAATTTAAAACACATGACAATTGCACACTCATTCTTTATACCAGATCCTGAATATTGTATAGATATTAAAGGTTTACTTGTTTATCTTGGAGAAAAAATTTTTGCTGGATATATGTGTATTTGGTGTAATAATTCTGGTGAGTTAATTTAAGTCTTTGCTTTTATGGTTATAACGAAACTAGTCAAATAATTATGTTTATTTACTAAATTAACAGGGAGATGTTTTCAAAGTGCTGAGGCTGCTAGAGCACATATGATTGATAAAGGTCACTGCAAAATGTTGCATGAAGGAGATGCACTTGCAGAATATGTAGAATTTTATGATTATTCATCCAGTTATCCTGATGTGGAAGCTGGTGATCTAGATGCAGAGATAGAAATACCAGAATTGGATGATAATGATTACCAGCTTGTGTTACCATCAGGGAATGTTATTGGCCATAGATCTCTAATGAGATATTATAAACAGAATTTGAATCCAAATAGAGCTGTAGCAGTACCAAAGAATATAAAATTACGTAAAGTATTGTCACAATACAGAGCTTTAGGTTGGACTGAAACACAAAAAGAACTTGTTGTAAAGAAGGCCAGAGATATTAAATACATGCAAAGAGTACAGGCAAAATATTCTACACAATTACAGTTTAAAGCAAATAAATTGCAGAAGCACTTTAGACCTCAAGTAAATTTTTAAATCCATCTATTATATGTATAAATATTGTTGCAAGACTGCATTCCTTTTTAAATTATATAATTTTTATGGAATATTTAATTGTTAGACATGCTTGTTGCATTGCATATTTATACATTGATTATTATAATAAATTGTACTTATTTAGTTGAAATCTGCATTTAACATAGTTTAAAGTTATTTGAAAGGATATATTATAAGGCATTAGTCATTATAAACTGTAATATTTATTTGGCGGATACTTTTACAAAATAACTTGTAATATATTTTCGTAACATGTGACACCAACAAAAATAATACTCCTTGTAACTTTATTCTATACTCATGTGGACCCATCCAGTTATTCCTGTTACCATGAGCTAAATCACTGTTTTCGATAAATTGTTAAACACGGATCAAGAAGTACTCCGTGTTCTGCTAGTCTCTTGCGATAGCTGTAAAAAAACGCGTACACAATCGAAAACATCGAACATTCGTGTACTGTGTACATATACGATATACTTTCAATTTACCACCAGCTGTAGAATTGTACAGAAGAGTTAACAAATGTCAAACTATAACATTTGACACGTGATTTTCTTTGCGACGCTTTCGTCGATATACGCCCATATTTCTTTCCGATACACGAAGACATGAATTTCTTTTCATACATCTTTTACTATGTAAACCAGAGCAGTTCGTTTTATTTTGAATCAGCAGAATGCAGAACAAAAGTCCAATGAAGAAAATATTAAATGGATCTTCATTCTTGCATTTGTCAACTCAAGTATATAATATTAACTATTTTTTTTTTTTTTTCTTTTTTTGTCTTAACAACAGCACACCATTCAGAACACAGACAAAGAGTAATAACCGATGCCTCAAATCGTTAATACTTTCTAAGAGAGACATACGGTCCACTCTGCTTTTAGATATAAATACTTCATAAATGCGTCTTGAAGACAAACATACATTAGAGACCTGTTATTGTCACACAATGATACATATAGTTTACACTACTGCTCTTTCGTAATATCTTTTTCTTTTTATTAAAGATTCATTAAGATTAACGTTGAATCTCGTTTTGTTTTCTATATATCTTTAATTTAACATCTTCACCATCAATTTTAAGGCCTGATGAGGTGGGGCCGGTCTTATTGATTCATCAAGATCCGTATACGGAATCTCCGCCTCTATTTGAAAACCATGTTTCAAACATACTTTCTGTGAAAACATACCCGTTGCATCAGCTTTGAACACCTGCAAATATATAGGAATTTGAGTATCCTGTTTGAGAACATTTTAAGTTGCACACAAACATTTACATACACATCGTATGAAGTACACTGCGTGCAAAAGTACCTCTCGAGAAAGTAACGAGTGCATTGCAATTTTACATCTTGGTAAATGAAAATTATCCCATGTATATTAACCCTTTCGGTACGGAGGAGTTGGCCGCGGTTATACGTTCGTGGTACGAGGAAGTTTTCCGTAGGAGTGGCTGTACTGTACGGCAGCGTCAGCCGCGAAAGCGCGACAGCCTAAACCAATTCTCGGCCGAAAGCCGATTTTGACAGAATCTTATCTCGCGGATCAGACGGAAAAGCAAACAAAACAGGCTTGACGCTTAACGTTTTAAAATCACATTTATTTCTTCACAGTATATTAATTAAAGTAAATACCATTGATATAAATAATTTGTTCCAATATCACAAAATTAAAATAAATAATAAAACTAATAGTATAACATAATAAATAACAAAACTAATAGTATAATATAATAAATGACAAAACTAATAGTGTAACTTGGTGTGATAGTTCACATTTAGATATACAGTCTGTCCTAAACAAAGGGATGAACGGAATACCGGAAACGTCATTTCACGGATTAACATACATAATGGAACAATTAGAGCAGCCGGAATTTTAAACAGAGGACAGTAAAGTAATGCGTACTATAGAGAGTAATCATATCTACATAACCTGCCATAACTGCCGATTTTAGGCGGTGCGGCGATAGTACCCAGAGAACGTTTCGTGGCCGCCGCCAATCGGCGGCAGTAGTACACACGGAGCGTTCCGTGGATGCCGCCATTTGGCGGCAATAGTACCGAAAGGGTTAATCGAAGAACATGCTGAAACAAAAACAAAATGTGAACTCTTCACCAAACGATCACAGTTCCACAACAGATCGTGCTGCACATATACGAGCATATACACAGAATCTATTTCTTAATAAATTTATTATCTTCGAATCAATTTTTTATATCGTATTAAATATTTATATTAGATTTAATCAATAATTAAATTATTATTTAGATGAAAAAAGCAATATTTGATACATATATTTTTGCAAATTATAATTCAAATTTGGAGAATAGCTTTCAAATTAGTACAAGCTTCCGGTAGGTAATGTTAACGGTCACGAAGTATCTAATAGTACGATACTACTAAGATTTTTCACCGAACTTAAATGCATGCTTCATAAATATTTATCATACAGAATTACATTTCATTCTGTGAAAATATTACTATAATTATGATTAGAAAAATGAATTGCATTTTAATTTACCTTGAAACCAGCATTTCTTGCGGTTTCTATACTGTCTGCCATAAGAATATTCGCCAAACCTTTCCCACGGAAGTTTTTATCGACGCTAAGAATTCTACACTCGAATAATTCATCAACATTGTACTTTGAAAAAAGATCAATTTTTTCATTAACTTTGTAGAGAAGCCCGAAAATTATTTTGAATTTTTCATCATTTAATTCTGCAAGGCGACGTTCCGCTTCTTCGCGCTCTCCCTTCTTCAAGATACCATTCAAAGCCATACCAGCTATCTGATAGGATAGTACTTATGATCGACAATGAACTTAACGTTCAAGGTCCGTATATATCATAGGGAAATGTTTCTTCGTCAATTAAATACATATAATGCACAAAGTAAATGCATAAATTGAACAAAAATATATGATCATTTCTTTATTGTAAAAAGAAAAAAGTACAAAATTTGTCTCCTTTAATTCAGCTTACCATTCCATTTTGATCCACCAGCATCCTTGAGTATCCCTGCTTTAAAGTGAGCAGGCAGTGTCTCTCCAACTCGAATTGGCTCTCTCCTTTTTCGCATAGTCCTACCGCGTGATTCAATGGTTCATCGGAGAAGAAATTCCACTTCAAGTGGTAGATCGCATCTTCAAAGCGATTTTCTGGAACATCCACGACCGTTAAATGATCGGACGACATCTTTGGGGTGGTCACGGCACGAATTTTCCGCGCACTGAAAGGATTTTCCACGCGCGCACTACCCTTAGTAGGGAGAGTTGACTCATATGGGAAAAGGTCCATATATTGATTGACCCAGTTCAAGAAATTTACTGGCTATAATGATTATGCATCCTTCTTAATTATTCCTAACGGGAAATTCGCATTAATGACATCTCAATGTCATCTATTTGTTTTTAATAAAGGATACAAAATTTATGAATATATTAGATTTCTAATTTGGGTATTAATAGAATACATCATTCAGAATAGGTATGTGTTTATTGTTTTAATGAAACATAATATACAAATGGCATGAAATGAATAGGATACCTTCTAAGCATCATGGAGGGGATACAGTAATGGTGAATAAAGAATATAAACATTGAGATATATATATGTATATATATATATGTACATATTTATTCTTCATAAATTCTTACTAGATAGTCTAGTAAGATCATTTTGACTCTATAATTTGATATACTCTATACTCATCTGCAATGCAGTGTAAATTACATCCTTTAGAATGTAACATTATGGGAACATTGAATGTGTTGAATATAATTCCAACAAATATAAAGTTCATAATATACAGGTGTCGAAAGATATTATTAACAATTTTTAAGATGGTATATTTCAATATGATGTATATCACATCATAATTAAAAGATGTTAAAAATACCATAAAATTAGTATTATTTGCTTGTGCATTTTAATAATACAATCTTATTTATAACTATACTGTGACATTAGTATTGTCCAAGGATTTTTGTGGAAGGTCTATATTTGTTTTCATACTTCACTGGATTCATTCTTTAACACATTCATTCAAAGTTATAACACTTTTTTTTTAATACTTTAGAATATGAAAACAAGTTATGTACAGTGTTTAAAATAAAATATCATCATCTCCTTCATCAAGCATATTTGCAGTTTCTATATCTCTACCAGCAGCTATCATTTCTGCTCTAACTGCATCAAGCTGTAAAATAATTTAATTGTTGCAAGAAGTACTTGATCAAAAAATATGATAAACGTAATCATTTTTGGAATATATACTTTACCTTAGCTTTTGCTATTTTCTTTTTGTCCTGAATCTTTTTTAATCGATAAAATTCTTCTCTTTCCAATTCATCCAGCTCAGAAATTATGTAAGCAAGAGTTTTCTCAATTCTTGGAATAATAACATGCTCAATGGCATTTACACGACGATTTGTTATCTTAATTACTTCATCCAAGGTTACAAAGCTTGTTTGTAGGGATGCTAACTCTACTAACAATTTGACTGCTCTTTGATAATTTTTTTTCAATTTTGCCAATTGTTGACCACCTCGTGCCAAACCTGCTAACTCATATGTATCTGTACCATCTTGATAGGATTCAAATACTGGAAGATTAACACCAGCAACATTGTCTTTCTTAGACCTAATTTTAATCTGTGCTTTTGTTACATTCTGAAGAACTACTTGATTAAAGTCTCCAGTTGCAAATTTAGCTTCAGCCAATGAAAAAGCTGCCTCTTTCATTACTTCTCCCATAAGAGTCTTGGTCTATATAGAAAGACAAATAATTAAACCTGTTTTAGGAAAAAAAACAATCATTTATGCAAATAAAAGTATTAGTTTGTACCTCAATAATTTTACCCAGAATTAATCTAAAACGCATTTGTAATGCATCTGCTTTCTTCTTTAACAAACCATGACCTTTTTGTGCCCCATGTAAACGGGATTTCATTAACATCTGCGCCCTAGAAAAGGAACGTAAAAGTTTATCAGTGTTACCATATAATAACAATATTGCACAATGTTATATGAAATAAAAAAGGTTGTATATATATTAGTGTTATTATTAATCAATGTAATGAAAGAAGTGAACAATATGTAGACTTAATACCTTTGTACAATTATTGAAAAAATTGCAGTCCATATTTTTAACTAAATAATTATACATCGTTATTTTAAATATATATTAAAAAACAATTTAAATGTTTTAAACAAATTAGAATAGGGTTACACCCATCTAATGACGGATGATAATAGTTTCACGTATTTTATTGATATGGATAAAAAACATTAAATAAATGAAAGATAATATTTACCAAGAAACAAAATAAAGTTTATTAATTTAAAAGAGAAATACATACCCCCGAGAAGGGAAAATTGCAAGTTTATCTTTTCCAGACATAGCTGTGAGAACTATCAAGCAGACAGGAATGAAATTGATCAGCTGACTTATAAAACCGGAAGTTTCAAGTATATGTATACATACGTATAGTTGTACAAAAATTAGCGCGCAATTTTAAAAATGGTAAATAATGATAATAATAGCTAGAATAAATTATATAATAAATAATTATCAAATAGTAAAATGATAGTAAAATGGTAAGAATTAAAAGAAATGTAAGTAAATGTTTTTAATATAATACACTGAGTACATAAAATAATTGAATACCAAGATGTCGCAACATTAACACCAATCATACGTATATTTGGAAATTAAAATTTATAATATCGAGTTAATTTAATATGACTTAAGGGAAAAATGAAATAATGAAAATTGAGAGTAAACATCTTCAATGGCCCAAAATCATAAAACTGGCTACTCGTTTGAAGAAATGAAAAATTGTTTTATACAACGATTAAAAAAAGAAAATCGTTGTTTTCGTATTAGCGATAACGAATCAAGTAATACGTTCAGAATAGACGTATATGCTGTTAATCCGCATAGCATACGTAGAAGTTGTTGGCAACCTGGGATAATAAGAAAAGCTACTGAAGATATCCTTATAAGAATGAATATTAATAATTTTTCGATATAGGTTTGTATATTTTCAATATATAAAATGATAAACTAAGCTCCAAATAAACAATGTCTATTATAGGTCTATTTTTTATGTCTTTTTGGTAAATTGCTATTAATTTTGTGGAACAATATGATTCATACATCGGATATCTCTAAAGATTTCATTCTAAATAAAGCAGTTCGTGATGCTACAAATATTTTACTAAGACCATATATGCCAATAATATTATCAGAATCTAACTCAAGACAAAATATTTATGAAAGGAAATATGAAACAATTAATTATATTAGAGACAAATGGATTTCACAGTCACAGGAGTTTTTATTAAGAATGGCAACAATTGCTTGGGACTTTTTAAATGTTTCAAGCATATTTGAAAGTAATCTGACAAAGCAGAATATAGAAAAAGATATTCTACATAATAGCATTTAAATAATAGGATGAATGTATTTTTATAATGCAGCTTCTGATGCTGATGTGAATTAACAGCTTATATAACAAGAAAGAATTAAGTATACTACATTAATGTAATTAATATAAGTATTTTTAATAAAAATATACAAGGTAAATTTGTACAGTATTTTACAACAGTGACAATTGTCCAGGTTTCAACACTTGCCTTACATTAATATTTATTCTAGCGTCAGAAATGTAAATTTTTGCTTTGTTCCAATCATCTTGATTACATGTATCATATTGATTATTGTCATTTACTTCTTCGTTATTCCATGGTGTTTCAATAGCTGATAAAATTTTTGGTATACCATGGTATCTTAAACGGGATTCCCCAGACATTATTATTATATCTCCACTTTGTAAAAACATAGCATTAGTTATATCCTTTTGTGTAAGACCTCCAATTAAAAATATTGCAGTTTGACCAAAACTTAAAGAAAATAAGGGTGCTTCTAGATTAATCTCAGAATGATCTGTATGACCTGCTAAGGTTGAATTCATTCTATAATAATTAATAATTGCTGCTTCAGCTTTAAAATCTTTAAAACCCAATGTTTCTGCTAAAAATGTAGTCAACAATGACAGTTCAGTAGGCATTTCTGTTTTGCATGTTTCAGAATATAATTTTGTATCCCAATTATGATGATACCCACATGTTGCCCATCTTAATTTTACCAATAATTCTTTACCTTTGTCAGAGTTCCTGCAATTTGCAAACAAGCATATTATAGGGATAAAATTCTTTCATATTATTTCACTGCAATTTACCCAAAACACATATCCCACCAATCTTCATTATCGTTCAAAATGTTATGGGCATCTAAGTTTAATTTATATGGTTTTCTAGAGTAGTGTTTTAAGCATTTTATAATCCAATACCGTTGTCCATAAGTGGTAAATGGATTTTTTATGAAAATAAGTCCCGGTATATCTAAAAATTCAAAGACCTTCCAATCTTTTACTAATTTTAGCCCCAATTCGTGTTTGCATTGTTTGTCAATCAATTTCCCTCTAAAATCAGTAACCTATAAAACATCAAGAATTTATATATATATAATGTGAATTTATAAGTTATCACATACTTTTTTATAATCGGGTTTATTGAAGTCGATTACATCTTTTAAATCAAAATAATAATCTCGTCTTTTATAATATTTAAAGCTATCTTTGAACATTGCTGCAAACCATAGGCTGCGCCATGTTTATTAATTTATACACGTGTCAATAGATGTCACTACTGCAGTTCGTCAGTTGGACTCGTGCAATTTGAAAGTAGATTTTAACGTAGATTCTTATGCGAGATACGATTAAATGCTTCAGAAGTTTGAATAAGAATGTCATTTTGACCCGGTTCGCGATGGTGACAATCGAAAGTATCGATTTTCCGGTCTTCAATCGTTGAATTGGAATTTTCTCTCGATGCTCGCCGCAGGAATGACGCTTTTACGACACATCTTGCCTAACGAATAAGTAAACAATCCAAGATGAATCTACGATGCGACATATGACTAAGTACCGTACAGATGCGATCGATAGATGGACGTGTGAATACTGCATCTTGCATTACGATTATTTGACTCGTTTTGCATAATATCATCATCATTGTGTGAACATTAATAGCCAGATACGTATCGGAAAAGTCTGAGTTTCAAACAGTTTTTTCTTACTGTGCCCAACCCCATCCCTCTATCTGTGTATGCACACGGTAATGGACTGTGACTAATTTTAGAGCGTAATTTTCGCATAATAACACTGCCGGGAAATCTATGATTTCATAGAGACGAAGAGAGGCACGCCAGTCGACTTCAAGGCTTTTCGAAAGCTTCGTGCAAATTAATAGTGCGCGCCGCGTTAATAATCGTCCATTACCATCGCTCCTATTCTCCATAAATTCCACCCACCCACCTAGCCCGGTCGCGAATGATTGTTCACCTGTACCTTAAAGAATACGAATGAACCTTGTTCTAGTTATAGAACTGGATCTTGGGTTCAATCACTTCACTGATCCAGCACGATCCAGCACGTATCTACAATCAGATAATTTTAAATCGCTGTTATATTGTCGTATTTCAATTATTTTATCGTAAATGAAAACAACATTTGGAACGATAAAAAAAATGATTCGAAATTGTAACTATTCTACATCTTTTGTAATACAACAAGGAGTAAACAACATAGAAAGTATAGAGGGAAATGGACAGAAACGATGGACATAGGTACTCAGTAGAACCGCAACACGCGGAGTCGAATATACCGGCGCATTAAGGGAGCGCGTATTCTCTGACAGTTTCATGTCAACAAATGTCGTGCCCGCGAGTCGCGCCCAGCCGTAAGCCAGGCCTGCACCAAGCGATCGCGGCGTATTCGCGAGATCGGCCAATCACGCGTGTCTGTCACGTCACTCGTAGCCAATCGCACACGTTCCAGATGACGACAGTCGCTAAATATAGCTCGTATATATCTAGGCCGGTCGCAACCGCGAATTATCCACAGTCGTGCGCCGGCAGCCGACGGAGAAGGACGGTTTGGGGCGTACCGGGACGCTGCGTTGTCGTTCGCACTGAAAAGGTAGGACCCGTACACGCACCTAAAACAACCGTCTTCTCTGCACGTGATAAAGCTCTTTGTAGGTCGAGTCGCATACGGCTATTCTTGTAATATAGTCCGGGGGATGCAATAAAGTGTATCGAGGCTGCGAGAGTAATTTTATTAGGTCTCTTTCGTACATTAGATTGTCAAATATTTCTGAACCAAAGATACAGTTCATGTTTCAACATTAGTGACATTTATTTATCGATTAATCTAAAGTAATCATTTCTATCTGTTTCTTTGAAGTTATTTTTTTAATAACCGAGTGTTCGTGGAAAGTCAAATACGATTAAAAGATTATCGATTGATCCGTTTATTATCAAAATACGAGCGAATCGATTGTGAAACAATTGTCAAAACTATCAATTATGACTTCCATTGAGGTATACCACCAAAATCGAGTTCGCTAGTAGCCAAGGTCGTACGACTACCGAGTGGAGCTTTATTACGAACATGTTGCATTATTACGGCAAGAGTCGAGAGAAGAATATGTTAAATACAACGTTTACTTCACGACGAAACTACATTAACGTTCTCCACGAACGTGCTTCTATCTCGATTCTTGTCTTTATTCTTTTTATCATACATATTCACCAACGATCAGAGCTAGTGCCATAGATAAAATTCGCAACGTCGCAAAAACGAGCGTCCGCTGTTTTCTAGTAACTTTTGTTTTTCCGAATTCGATTCAAATGCTCGCCGCACGAAATATCGCGGTAACGTTTCGTGTCTCTCGCGTCCATGAATATGAAGTTGGCTGTGAAGCGGGCTATCGTTTACTTCGTTCACGCGATACGTATCGGAAG